TGGTCGATGTTTCTCTCTCATCGACGTTTCTAGCTCTCTATCTCTCTCCCTTTCTCTCTGTTAAAAATCAATAAAATATATTTTAAAAAAAACTGTCAAATATACCCAATTTAAAGGTTATCAAAACTTAAACCAATGGCAGCTGGCAACACAGAGGTGAGGGAGAGGCTGTGAGTGGGAAGGAGGTGAAAGGAGATTGTGTGGATGTGTGTAGTGTGTGTGTGACTGAATGAGGGACAGTTAAATCTGGCAGGAGTGGCAGGGGCTGGCAGACCAGGCTGTCATGGACAGGGAGTATCTACCACTAAGTTGGGCACTTCCCAGGCTGTGAAGCTTAGGCACGGAGCTCACAACATCTTAAAGGGGAGAGCAGCATGTTCTCTGAACTCATCAGCACCACCACCAAGACAGGCCTTGGACACTGTCCAGGTCCCTGTAGCCACTCCATTCAACATCTTGCTGCTCTTCTTGCAGAATGCAGACTCTAGGACTTCCTCCTCCAAGGGTGCATGGCTCCCTCAGCAGTAAATGCAACTTACCCCCCTCTTCAGCTGCCAACTTCCAGACACCACAGTCCCTTTTCCATAGCACAGCCCTCCTGATCACACTGCCCCACAAGCCACTCTTGGGTGCTTCTGTGAGCCACTACTGGACACAGTCTTATCCAAAGAAGGGCACACTGCCTGAGCAGTAGAAATTCTGAATCCCCACTTCCCAGCTGCCTTCCCCTAGACATCTTAGTCATGCAGCTTCAGTGCCAAGGCTCCTCTGAGTGTGAGTGATCCACATTGGCAAACGGACCCCGGGTGTCTCTGTGAATCACCACTGTGCACACATGAGTCAAACCAAGTGTGCAAGGCCGTGACTGTAGAAATTTGGATTTCCCTCACTCCTGGATGCCTGCCCACAGGCACCTCGGTCACGCAGCTGCAGTGCAAGGGTCACTCTCATTGCACTGCCCTAGCAAACAGCCCCTGGGTGGCTCTGTGAGCTACTACTGGGCATGCACAAAGTCAACCAAGGAAGGGCACAAGGCTCCAGCAGCAAAAACTGAGTCTTCCTCCTCCACAGCTACCGACCTCCAGACATGAGTCACCTTTTTCCATTGTGTAGGCCTCCTGAGCCCCCACAAATGATAGGCAGCTCCTGGGTGTCTCTGTGAGTCCCCACTGGGGATGTGGCAATTCAACTAAAGGCGCAAGGCAGCAAAAACTGTGACATCCCTGTCCCCAGCTGCTTACCTCCAGACACTACAGTTTCCTCTTTCCAGCACGCAGGACTACTGAGCCTTCTGCCCCTATAGGTGGCTCCTGGGTGCCTCCTTGAGCACCTGCTGGGGGCGCTCATATCCAAACAAGGATGCACAGCTCCAGCAGTGTAAATTCGAACTCCCTCCTTCCCAGCTGCCTACCTTCAGACACTGTGGTCACGTGGTTTTTGTATGCAGGCCACCTGAGGCCACTGCCCCAGGAGCTGACTCCCAGATGCCTCTGTTAGCTGCCATTGGGCACATTTACATCCAACCAAGGGTGTAAGGCCCTGGCAGAAGAAACTCAGACTTCTGCCTTCTCAGCTGCCACCCTCTGGTCACCAATCCAATGCACAAACCTCCTGAGCCCACTTCCCTGGCAGGCTGCCGTTGTGTGCTACTCTGAGCTGCTGGAAGGCACAACTCTGCTGGCACCCAGTCCCTGAGGTAGCGACTCTCCAGCACATGGACCACCTGAGCCTACTACCACAGCAGACAGATCCTGGGAACCTCTCTAAGCAGCCACTATGTGTGCATATCCAATCAAGGGTACACATCTCCTGAAGCAAAAACTGGGAATTCTCCTTCCATGGGGCCAATGACACATCACAACCACTCTGATAGAGTATGTGGGAGTCAAAAGAACACACACCTTGCAGACAGCTCTTAGGCCTCTCTGTGAGCTTCCACTGGAAGTGTGTCTATCCAAACAAAGGCACACAGGTCTCTCAGCAGAATCTACAACATCTCCCTCCAAGCTACCTACCTCTGGTCAGGTTGGTGAGTTACTGAGACCTTGCTTACCTGGACAAGGTCATATTGTTTCAGCTAGTGACTCCGAGATTACAACATCCACAGCTGCTGGATCTTGAACTCCCGCTTTGGCCAGAGGCCCATTGCTTCAACCACAGACTATGAGACACTTTTCCCAATAGTCATGGACTCTAGGCCTCTCCTATTGAGTTTCAGAGTAACAGTTAATCCAGCAAGAGTTATACCACACTGGCCAAAGTCACAGTACCTGAGCTTCATGTTCCAAGACTACTTCCTCCTAGGCCATGGACTCTGGGAAACCACAATGAGCATATACCAGGGAAACTACAAACAAACTTTTCCAAAAGAGCCCCAACCACGGTAATATCCAAAACCACTTGCACAATGAAGCCAGGGGTAAGTCACATTACCAATCTGTGACGAGACTTCATCCATAAATAAGAAACTAACATTCAAGATCAAACTAAATTAAGACAACCCAGATAACTCAAGTAGGGAGCTCCACTACATCACCAAACATGGGAGACATAAGAGACCACACCACTAGCACCACCCCTAAAAGAACCTGGGTAACAAAGAAGTTGTATATAAGACACAGAAACAATTAAAACATTACAGCAGAAAATGGGGACACACACACACACACACACACACACACACACACACACACACACACACACCTGTTGGCACATTCATTTTTCTCTACCATTTTTCTGTTTTGATTTAATTAATTTCTGTTCATCTTTATTTTTCTTCTCTTCTGCTTGATTTTAAGTAATTTTGATTTTCCACTTCTATTTCTTTTTTAAAAAATATCTTTACTGTTGAGAGTATTACTAATGTTCCCCCTTCTCTCTCAGGACTACTTTCACTGTGGCCCATAGATTTTAGATTGTTTTCATTCTCATTTGTTTCCAGGATGCTTTTTATTTCTTCTTTGATCTCATAGGCAACCCAATCATTGTTTAATAGCATGCTGCTTAGCCTTCAAGTGTTTGATTTTTTTCATTATTTTTATTGTAGTTGATTTCTAATTTTAGGCCATTGTGATCTGAGAAGATGCTTGTTATGAATTCTATCTTCCTGAATTTGAAGAGACTTTGCCTGTGTCCAAATATCTGGTCTATCTTTGAAAATGTCCAATGTGCACTTGTGAAGAATGTATATTCTGTGGTGTTGGGGTGAAATATACTAAAGATATCAATTAGGACCATCTGATCGAGTGAGTCATTTAGGATTGCTGTTTCTTTGCTGATTTTTTGTTTACAGGATTTATCCAGTGGTGTCAGTGGGGTATTAAAGTCCCCTACTATGACTGTATTGCTATTGACCTCTCCGTTGATATCTTCCAGAAGTTGTCTTATGTATTTGGGTGCTCTTGTTTTGGGTGCATTTATGTTGATTAGAGTTATATCTTCTTGTTCAATTGCTCTCTTTAGTATTATGTAAATAATACTAAATACTTTTGGGGTTCTAATACTAATACTTTTTGGGTTCATCTTATTTGGGACTCTACTTTTACTCTTTTGTATTATGGAAATAATACTAAAGAGAGCAAGAAACTAGCATATTCAATGTTAGTTTCTTATTTATGGATGAAGTCTCATCACAGATTGGCAATGTGACTTACCCCAGGTTTTAGTATTATGGTCTTTCTTATCTCTTGTTATGGCCTTTACTTCAAAATCTATTTTGTCTGATATAAATGTTGCAACCCCGTTTCTTTCTCATTTCCATTTGCTTGAAAAATATTTTTCTATCCCTTCACTATCAGTATGTATGAATTCTTTCTTCTGAGGTAGGTCTTTTGAAGACAGCAAATGTGTGGGTCATGTATTCTTAGCCACTCAATTACCCTATGTCTTTTGATTGGAGCATTTAATCCACTTACATTTAATGCTATTATTGATAAATACTTGTTTGTTCTCATTTTTATTTTTAATGCTTGTGTTTCTTCTTGCTTTCTTTTTCTTCTTTTTACAGTATCCCCTTTAGCATTTCTTGTATTGCTGGGTTGGTGGTAATAAACTATCTTAATTCTCTTTTGTCTGTGAAGCTTCTGATTGCACTTTCAGGTTTGCATGACAGCCTTGCTGGATATAGTATTCTTGTATTCAGACCCTTGCTTTGCATCACTTTGTATATTTCTTTCCATTCCCTTCTGGCCTGATATGTTTCTGTTGAGAAATCAGTAGATATTCTAATGGGAGATGCCTTGTGGGAACTTTCTGCCTCTCTCTGGCAGCCCTTAAGATTCTTACTTTGTTGTTGATGTTTGCCAGTTTAATTATGATGTGTCTTGGTGTTGGTCTTTTGGGGATCATCTTATTTGGGACTTTACATGCTTTTTGGACATGTGTAGTTTCTTTCTTGACAATATCAGGGAAGTTTCCTGTCATTATTTCTTCAAACAGGTTTTCTATTCCTTTTCTCTGCTTCTGGTCCTTCTGGTATCCCCATTATGTAGATGTTGTTTTGTTTTGGGTGTTCCTAAGCTCCATAAGGTCTCCTCAAGCTTTTTAAGTTTTCTTTTCAGTTGCTGCTGTGTTTGTGTGTTTTTTTCTATCTTGTCTTCTAACTCACTGATGTGGTCCTCAGCCTCTTCTAGTTTACTGTTTAAGTCTTCCTTTGTGTGCTTTATTGCAGCTACGTTGTTCTTCATTTCCACTTGGTTTCTTTTCACGTTGGTGACATTCTCATTCAGCTCCTTATAAGTCATATTGAGAGTTGTGATCTATTTGTTTTCCATCTGTTTGAGCATCTGAATTCTTTCTCTGACATGTTACTTGCCTCTATGGGTCTAGTAATAATTAATGTCGTTTAAAACATTCGTTTAAAATCTTGCTTGGCATTGACTTGTATTGACATAACCTTCAAACACGTGGTATCTACAGAACGTGTGAAGTGCAATTAACAAGTTTTGCTTGAAAAAGTTTGTGTTTGGTTTGGTTATTGTTGCAAAACTAGGGCTAAGAAGATGGCGGATGAAGAGCATATTCGGCACTGCATGCTTTACGAGTTCCAATTAGGAAGAAAAGCAAGTGAGGCTGCAAAAAACATCTGTAGTGCTCTTGGTCAAGATGCAGTTAGCGCCAGAAAATGCCAGCGTTGGTTTGAGAAATTTCACGAGGGAAATTTTTTGTTAGATGACATGAGTGGTCGAGGCCGTGTGTCCAATTTTGATCAAGAAGCTCTTCAAGCTCTTTTGGTGCAAAATCCTCAAATTACCCAACAAGAACTTGCGACAACTTTAAATTGTTCACAAAAAAACAATTTCCAATCAATTGCGTGCACTTGGCAAAGTCCAAAAGTCTGGAAAATGGGTTCCTCATGAGTTGACCGACAACAACCGTAATCAAAGAGTCACAATTTGCAGTTCGCTCCTCTCTCGTCAAAACCATTTGCCGTTTTTTAGAGCAAATTGTTACCGGAGATGAAAAATGGGTGCTGTATGTTAATTTGAAAAGGTGGCCTCAATGGTTGGACAAAAATGAGGCTCTGCAGCCCACGCCAAAACCTGACTTGCATGCGAAAAAAGTGATGTTGTGTGTTTGGTGGAATTTTAAAGGAATTCTTCATTATGAACTTTTACCATTTAACCAAACCATTACAAGTGCAGTGTATAGTGCCCAATTGGAAAGGTTAGCCCAAGCTTTAAGAGAAAAAGAACCCGCGCTGATTAATCGGAAGGGCGTAATTCTTCACCACGATAACGCACGACCGCATACTGCAAGAATCACTGCTGAAAAACTGCGCCAGTTGGAATGGGAAGTTCTCCCTCAACCTGCATATTCTCCTGATATTGCCCCTTCCGATTACCATTTGTTTCGTTCTTTGCAAAACTTTCTTTTTGGAAAAAAATTTAATAATGAAGAATGCCTCAAAAATGCATTGACCGAATTTTTTGCATCAAAATCACAAGAATTTTACAACAGAGGGATTAAAATGCTTCCTAAGCGTTGGGGACAAGTAGTAGAAAACAACGGCAACTATATTGTTGATTATATTTTGTTGTATTGTTTAAATAAATTCGGTTTAAAAAAAAGTATTAGAAAACGACATTAATTATTACTAGACCTAACATTTCATTTAATTCCATTTCTGGTGATTCCTTGTTTTCTTTACTTCGGAAATTCTGTGGGGATATTTGTTTGTTTGTTTTGTATCCACATTTTCTGCTGTAATGTTGTAATTGTTTCTGTGTCTTAGATGCAGTTACCCAGGTTCTTTTAGTGGTGGTGTTAGTGGTGTGGTCTCTTATATCGCCCAGGCTTGGTGATCTAGTGGATCTCCCTAGTTGAGCTATTTGGGTTGTCTTAAGTTAGTTGGATAATGAATGTTAGTTTCTTATTTATGGATGAAGTCTCATCACAGATTGGCAATGTGACTTACCCCAGGTTTTGTTGTGCAAGCTGTTTTGTATATGATCATGGTTGGGGCTCTTGTGGAAAAGGTTTTCTGAGGTTTCCCAGGTATATGCTCATTGTGGGTTCCCAGAGTCCACACCCTCACCCTGGGAGAAAGTAGTCTTGGGGCATGATGCTCAGGTACCATGAATTTGGCCAGTGTGGTATGACTCTTGCTGAATTAGCTGTCATTCTTAAACTCAGTAGGAGAGGACCAAACCCCATAACAAGAGGGAAAGGTGTCTCATAGTCTGTGGTTGTGATAATGGAACTCTGGCCAATGTGATTTTTTTCTTTGAATCATAGGGGTGGGTTCAGGATCCAGCAGCTGGGGATGTGGGAATCTCAGAGTCACTGGCTGAAAAATGTGACCTTGCCCAGAGAGGCAAGGTCTCAATAATTCACTAACCTTGCCAGAGGTAGGTAGTTTGGAGGGAGATGTTGTGGATCCTGTGGAGGGAGCTCTGTGCCTTTGGTTGGATAGGCTGATGTGGAATCTCAGAGAGGGGCCCAGGAGTTGTCTTTAAGGGTTGTGTGCTCATGGGGTCCACATGCTGGATCAAAGTGATTGTGGTGTGCCAGTGGCCCTATGGAAGGAGAATTCCAAGTTTCTGCTTTGGGGTCAGTGCTTTATTCTCAGGAGTAAACACCCTCCTCAGAGACTCACTGCCCCTCCCCTCTGAGCCTTTCATTTCCTTTTACACCACCCCTTAGAGGAAGTCACTTACTTCTCTGCCCATTGATCAGTCAGAAGGATACCTAATGTTCCCTTTGGTCTCTCCTCCAGGAGACATGGCCATTTTAAGGAGGCCATTAAGGAAGTCCTTGGACAGTGACCAGAGAAACTTTATTGCAGCTCCAGCAACCAATAGCCTCAGCCATGCTATCACAGGGGCAGTCTTCTGTCAGGAGCTTTCTGTGGTTAAAACACACAAGAGTTTTAATCTCACAGAAAGGAATTGGCAAAACTGCACTGTATTTTGAATTTCTAGAGGATAAGAAAATAACATCTAAAATAAATAATACATGGAATAAGACTAACACTGCTGATTAAACATAAGTGAACTTAAAGAAGTGTAATGGGAAGTCCCCAAAATAGAACACAGAACTAATTTCCCAAAAAAATAGTCAATTGTCAGGAATGAAAGAGACAATAAAGCTGTCAAATCTACATAAAAGTATTGGGAATCCCAGAAAGAGGAGAGAGGGGTGCCAAATAAAATGTTTGAAGAAATTATAGCAAATAGATTTTCAGAATTTGATGTAAACAATAAAGAGCTCTAAGGTCACCAACATATCCCAAGAAGAATGAAATATACAACATTAAATCAAGGCACAATAAAGTCAAACTCATGAAAAAGATAAAATGCCTAAGGTAGCAAAGAAAAAAACACACATAAGTAAAGGAAAAAGATTAATAGAAGCATCAAAGTGACATGAAAAACAGCAGATAAGGGGACAGAACTGAGTTCTTGTGGAAAACCGTCCACAGACACACAGCTTTCACAGAGGTGCAGCCTCAGGAGGAACTGGGCAGCACCACTGGTCACCCAGAGTTCACCCTATATTCCCTGTGACTGGAAGGGCCTCATCTATTTGTTCATTGACCTGATCCCAGGAAAATGAAACATCCTGCCTCTTTAGGACAGGAAATAGGTTTGCACCTGGAAGCCAGTAGCCCCCCAAAAAGTGTGGAGAGGGTGCCCCCTAGTGGTCACAATTCAGACATGGTTCCAAAGTCCCCAGAAAACACACTGGGCTTTTAAACTGACATTGAATCTTACTTGGATTTTAGAAGGACAAGAAGGAGGAAATCTCTGTATCTTTCTAGCACCTGGGAAAATGGACTTTTCACTAATTGAGGTTTGTGTTTACCTCATCCCTCATGGGGCTTGACCAGCTGGCTTCTGGAGGGTCCCCACAGGGAGGCCCAGTATCAGCCTGCAGTTGAGGGGGTCTGGTGGTTCTTCCTCATTAAGGCTCTGGAGAGAGTCTCTAGCCCAGCTCCCCATGGACCCCTGTACCCTGGCACCTGGGGCTGTCCTTCTGGGTGCCTCTCCATCCTAGTTCCCCTCATCCCAGCAACACAGAAAACCCAGGTCTGTTGGTCCACCTGGCAGGATGCTGTGCTGGGGCCTTCTCAGTGTTAACTCGATATGGTTGGAGGGGCGGGCCCTAGCTCCTGTAGCTCAGTGGATAGAGCTTCAACCTGTGTACTGAGGTGTCTAGGACTGATGGTCCATGGCAGAGGGTTGCAAGATTTGATTCCCATCAAGAGCATGGTCCTCAGTTGCAAGCTGGACCCTTGTATGCAAGAAAGAACTAATCAATGTGTCTCTATCAGCTCTCTGACTCCCCCTCCCTTCCATGATCCCTAAAAATAAGTGGAAAATATCCTTGAGTGAGGATTAATAAAACTAAGTAAAAGAATTTTATTTTATTTTTTTAAAATGAAAGAAGAAAGAAGGAAAGAAAGAGAAAGAGAAGAAAAAGAATAGAGAAGGAAAGGAAAAGAAAGGAAAGGAAAGAAAATAAAAAGAAAAGAAAAGAAAAGAAAAGAAAAGAAAAGAAAAGAAAAGAAAAGAAAAGAAAAGAAAAGAAAAATATAAGAAAAAGAGCTTCTCAGAGCCTGGCTGGAGTTGCTCATTGATTGAGCATCAACCTATGAACCAAGAGGTCACAGTTGGATTCCTGGCCAGAGCACAGGCCTGGGCTACTGCTTGGATCACCAGTGGGGGCGATTCCTAGCCAACCAGTGGAGGAGTCTCTCTCATCATTGATGGTTCTATCTCTCTCTCCTCCTTTCCTATCTGGAGTAAATAAATATGTATTTTAAAATAAGAATAAAAATGAAAAGGAAGAGAGAAGTAAGGCTTTGTGTTGTTTGAGCTGTCCATACCCCACCCCTCCCCAGTGTGACTGCACTTTCCAAGTGGTGGTGGCCAATTTCCCAAAGGGAACGAGTGACCACAGTCCCAGATTCCTGTGTTTGTCTGTCCTCACCTGCCTGGGGCTGTGAGAGGATGGACATAGGTGGCTGCTCTCCTCTGAGAACGGAGGTGCTCACCTGCCCCCAAGGACGACTTGGTGCCTCAGCTTTCTGCCCAGGGTTTTTCTCCAAGAGACATTGTTATATTGTAAACCAGAAGACACCTTAATCAATGAGACAAATTTATTTGGTGTCCTGTTCATTTCGCTAGCGCTAGCGGGTCCAGAGGAAATCTTACTTCTCAAATTCTGGCCCCACATGGAGGAAGTCTTCTCTATTTATTCTTTTTCCTGCTCTTTGTCTCCCAAATTTGAAATGAGACTTCTGGACCTTCTGAGAAAAAGTCCTGTGTGTTGGGACGGGTCCCTGAGACCATATCTCAAGGCCTGGCCAGGCGCCAGCCCTGACAACTCTGTCCGCAGCATAGTTTATGGCCTCTCTGGAATGGGGAGTAGTCTTATTTTAACTCTAGTGTTTAAGAAAGCAAATGTTTAGGGAGATCCAAGATGGCTGCGCCCAGGTAAACACCTAGCCACAGCCGCACACAACAATTTCAATAAAATACAACTAAAATATAAAATGGACATTACCCAGAACTACAGGAAAGTCGACTGACTGGAAATTCTACAACGAGAAGCAAGGAGAAAACCAGAAGGAAGAGCGGAGGAGCTGTAAAAGCCTGAGGTACGGAGACATGCAGCGCGTGGAGAGGACGGAGCTGGAGAGGAGGGAGGCCGAGTGCCTGGCTGGCGTTCCCTAGTGGGAAGGAGATAAAACTCCAACTGTGTTGGGCCCCAGTTCCTACTGCTCTGAACCCCAGTTCTAGGCCAGACCCCGGGGACCCAGGCTCATCCATAGGGCACTGGGCTGTAAGGCGGAACCCCGGGGAAATGGCGAAAGGAGGTCCCGGCGGCGTGCACATTGCACGCAGAGAAGGGA